TCTTGTTTTACAGGTGAAGAACGGCGTTCATACAGTTGCCGATGGATAGTCTGTTAGCTCACTTTACAAACCAGTAGGCTGTAAAAAGACATATCCACCTCTCAGTAACATCATTTTCATGACAAAAAACATTGGCATCGATAGGGATTTATACATTCATCGCGCATATTTTGAACATTCAATGTTAATTTTGGAATTTTTTTCTTGGACGTCTTCGACCGTTTCACTTCAAAGTGCCCGCCACCAAACTGTCGAAATAATATGTTATGCAAAGTTTATAGAACAGTTATAATACGGAGTCTTGGTTGAAGGGCATTAAAGCTTGGCCCTGCTATTCTAAGGTTACCTCAACAGGTTTCTTTCGTAACTTTAAATTGGTTCTGCAGATGTCCTAGAATTCGCTAAATGCAGATAGCTCACTTGATATACTGGGTAGTTGTTGAGGGCAGGTCAATTGATTCTTTGCATGCTTACGGTTTGTTGTTTGCAAGAGAGCAGATTTGGCAAGAAGTTGAAGCGAGTGTTTGTGTTCACTTACAGGAGATCTAGGCCTTCTTGACGATGGTTCAAGTTGTAGATGGAACCTGCCGGGATATAGCATGGCTGAAGGCAATATAGAATCACAGAGTGGGTAGTCTGGATCTAGATGGCCTAGTGCTCTGACAAATATACACAAAAGATATTTAGTATCAAATCTCCTAGCACTTTATTTTGGACTTACGCTAAAACTTACGAATTATGTTATTTTTAAAAAATTCATCAGTGGAGTTACATGAACTTTCCGAAAATATCCTGCACACTTATATCCAAGAAGCTAATATACTAGAGTGAACAAACGAAAAACGGGAAATAGTGCTATTTTACGACATGTTATTTCATGTTGCTTTTGCGATTCTAGAATAATTTTTATGGTTACTGCATTTTAAGCAGAATTCTTGTCTCTAAACAGACAACCGGCTTTGGTTCGAATACGATTATCGTTCAGGCTGGATGTTATTGGGCTCGGGTATAAACACTCCCTCCACAGGCCTCACAGCGCCTCGATCACATCAGTCAGCAACTACACGCCTTAGCATTTCGAGCTATTCGGTTTCCGTCACACTTGGGGAGCGATTTTTGATATTGAGTGTCAGATTGCCAAATTTTGTATCTTATCAACTGAGGTAACTGGCTTCGTTGTAAAAACTTATTAAGAACACATTGCGGGGCTCCATCATGGACGGGCTTAGCGTTGTAGAAAGATTAATGGGAGATAAGGCTAGGCGATGCCCCGAAATTGCGTTCTTCATAACGTTATTGGCGGAAAAACGAACGTTTAACGAAGCATACGCTTAGAGGCGTGTAGGTTGTTCTGACTGGATGTTGGATTCGAGGCGGTGTGGATGCCTGTTGGGGGGAGGTTTTAGGAGCAATATCTCGCTAGGAGTTTCTATTTGACAAGCGGTTGGTCTTGTTTTAGAGAGCAAAGAATTCTGCTTAATGCAGTACCATAAAATTATTCTAGACTCGCAGGCAAAGTAGAATAATCATGTCGTGAAATAGCACTATTTTCCCGTTTTTCCGTTGTACACTCTAGGTATTATTAGCTCTTGACATATATATATATATCATGACTTAATTATGCATACTGATTACATAGCAACTGTATCAAACAGCATATGTATATCAATAAAACTTATTATTAAAATTTTAAATGCCAAAAGTAAATTTTTCTACCTACAGAATTAATATTGTTAGATTTTACAAATGACCACGTTAAACCTTAATATACATATGAAGAAACACGTACTACCTGTAAAACGAATCTAGTGCTTTCTTTTGGAACTGCTGTCGGTCAGATTGTATGTGTGCCTCATCTGATTTCAGACTGTAGCTGATGCCTAGCATAAGATAGCCTTTATAGCACAGATCGTGATTTTCTCCCACGCTGATCACTTGGTGCGCAAAGCGGATTCCATCATCTAACTTCAAGTATGTACGAAACGGTTGTTAGAGCAAGGATTTCTCATGCTCATTCATACACACTTCATGTTTTATAGCCTATAACTGCAGGAACTCATAACTTTTATGCTGATGTAATCAGTAATAAGTACACTGGTAGGTGGGTCTAAATTTGTCTAAATTGATTTATTTTATCGATTTATTTCAGAAATGATCGTTTTAATACATACTCATCTTAAAAAGTAACTAATGCTTGTAGTAGTGTACCATCTGTAAGTTTTCACAATTTTATTACCACAGCTGATACAGGCTAGTGGTCAGAGATACCTGCAATGCTGATGCATATACTATTGTTACTGACCACACTATGAGCAATATGATGCCAAACCTACCTTATATAACTGTTCAAGGCAAATTTTTGCAGCAAGCAAAGGTATGACTGGTTCAGAAGGGTTGATGTTCATACATTCCTTCAACACATGCAGTGCCCTCTTGTACTGCAAAAGTGCATGATAATTGTTTAAACAGATATGAAACGTCATGACAAACCTTCCTTTGTAGGCTAACATGGTTTTGTTCGTGTACACATAACATATCAAATGTTCGTGCACGTGGACATGAACATTTAGACTTGAATTTAATGACAAAATAACTAGACAATAATTGCGTATGAGCATCTTTTCAAACTGTGTAATGGTTTAACAAATTTCGAAAGGTATAACGACTATATCTTTCCCCTATGTCACTACACCACAATGTAACAATTATAGAAATGTTATTACCTTTCCTGAACAAATGAGAGCCAGTGCGAACTGAAACCAAATGTGAAAATCTTCAAACGAGAACTTCATGGCTCGCTCAAACGTCTGAAAAACAACAAACACGCGTGTACCTCATCATCTCTACGTATGTCAACAATCAGCAGGCAAGTTTTCTTTCAAGGTAATCATGGCATGGGCTTTTTTACTAGAAAAAAGCAGTGACCTCTTGGGGAGAAACCACGGCAAGAAAACCATTAGTGCTTTTAGGCAATCATGGTCAACGCTACATCAAAGTCTATTCAAGAATGCGATAAATGTCAAGCATAGATATATAGCCTCAAGGCAACGTGCGGTGGTGGAGAATAGTTAGGGTTGTGTTTACCTCACACAGCATACTGTACTGCGCACGCCTGACAAGAATCATAGTCAGCAGGTCGTAGATGACCTGACAATTCTTCAGCGACTGCACCCGCTGCTTCTGATAGTCCGGCGCACGGGTGAGTACAGCTTCCCTGTTAGCCTGCAACATCAGCCAATGTCTCTCAACAAACCTCATAACTGGATAAAGAATACGTGACATAATTAGTATTTACATGCGCCATAGGTCATTGTGGCTCTATGAATGTAACTGGATAAAAGATATGTGATATAAATAAAGTGTAACTAAAAGACCTGGACAAAGGATAGCTGGTCAGCATTGGTCAGTGTACCTTTAGGATTTGAAATACGTATGTATGTGTGGATAGAAAATATTGCCATCATATTGGCTTTATCTCTCGAGAGCCAAAAAATATCAATATGAATGAATCAAACATAAATAGCTGTTAAGTATATATTTAATGAAAATCAAACCTACATGTTGATATTAGTTAACATTCCACAAAGCCTACAAACTGATCATTAGTATGGTAGTATAAATGTGCCACTTACCATCACTTCAGCTATCAGGAGCAAAAGCAACGCTTCTTCTTCTCCTGTGTCTGGCTGGAAAATTCTAAAATTGGCAATTAGACTTGTTTCAATTTTCAATTTGATTTAAAAAAATCTGAATTGGATTTATGTTGGACTTTAAACAAATAACTATTCATAGATGAATATTTTTTGCAGACGTGGCTTGTGTGCACACTACAGTAACACCATGTCTTATAAGATAACATATAATTCCAGTGGATGAACTAAATAAATTAGTAAGTGGACATGATCTAGTAGAGAGTAACTTCAATGAAATTCTGCATGAAGGCCGTTACTTATCTGGGGGCCCACTGCTGTAGCCAAGACTAGTGCTATTACTACAACGACTTTACTACACATGTCTCAATAGAGAACTGATCCTTTCAGTTTAACACAAACCTTAAAAATTATAACTATTTAGAGCATCCACAAGCGATTGTCCCAAAAGTTATTTATCAACATCGACTAGTACCAAGAGCCAATTTAGGTGACTATTAAATAGGTAAACAGTACTAGTTCCATTCTTCAGGTTAAATTGACTACATCACGAATTTTCTATGGTAAAATTTGTTAAAATTTTGTTGCCATTTTTTTACATTACAAGTAAGAACTAACGGGACTAAACGTATCGTCAAATTCTTACCTGATAAGATTGCTTCTCAACTAGTTAAAAATCCAAAAAACCTGGACGATTTGATATTAGTGTTCCTAACATTAATTGCTTGCTATGGGCTATGTATGAGTCACGAGTGTATGTTCACATCAAACAATATAGTAAAATAAGAAGTATAATGCAGCAATTTAACCATAACAAGTGCCGCGGAGCGACAGCGCTCATCTCACGTCTACTGCGGTGACTCCGTGGTGGAGTGGTGGGATTCTAGTAAACCCTGTTAGTCCCAAATGTGTTCACATATGCGCCGAAACAGTGGAAGGCACAGACAGAGATGGTATCAGGAACCTTCTCGAAGGAATGTTCGTTGGGGTCGTTAAGAAAGTTGCCACGAGATGGCGCGTACGTTTAAGTGTCTTAAGATTAAAGATGGAAGCTCCCATCGTACGTAGTAGCAACAACTATTTGCAAGACAGAATAGGTACGCACTCATCCATTATAATAGCCATTGTGTCTATAATAGCCTGGCCCCATCATATGGTATAAACAAAGGAACGTTTTTTTCTATATTAGCAAAGAGGTTATGTCTTTCTATTTTCAAAGTATGAGTAAACTGAGGTATGGGTAAACGGAAATCTCACCCTTGCCCTTTATACTCCTGTGGTTTAAGGGTCACTTCAGTGCCATCCTTTTGTGTGATAGTTAGGCCCCTACTCCTTTCGTGAGATGTTACCTCCTCCATGATTTCATTGTAGCTGCATTCTGATACACCTCTCAATAGCACCTGCAATACAATTCTACATGTAACATTATAGCAAATGCAATATTAGTCTACAATATCAACTATGGTTCAAAAGCTCAACACAAATCGAAATATAGACACAAACACAAGTTAGTGTTATTCAACAAACACAATTCTCTTACTCCATTTGATGTGTCACACTCTCTCTCTCTCTCTTCTCTCACTATCTTGCTCTCTCCCTCCCTCTCTCTCTTTCCTCTCCCTCACTCACTCTCTCATGCAGCCTACCTCTCCCCTTCCTTCCCCTCTCTCTCACCTCAGCAAGTTGCACTGCAAGAACTTGGCGTAAATTCTGCGTTGATCTAGCCTCCACCGAGCGTAGAATTCTTCTGTACTGGCCAATACCACGCGAAAGCTCCCTATATACAGTACATGTAATTATCACAAACTTCTTTTACACGAGTGAATGATTAAATATAGTACATTTATAAATGGTGCTGGTAAAACCTTAAATGCAGAATATCAGCATGATAGGTGTAGATGTTTGGGATTGCGTTGCTTTATGACCTATACAGACTGACACTAATGCCATTTTACACATTAGATCAGATGAGCTAAGAGATGCTGGAAATCTTCCTGTGATTATGAAAGACTAAATACTTCCACTAACTCAGAAGTAATGTACCGATCCGACATCATGACCTATACGTGGCTGTACTCGTACATGTCTAAAAATGTGTACAAAGTCTAAAATGTGTAAAAAAAAAACTGAGCACACCCCACAGACGATATCAACACAGCATACCCATGTTTGATGTGAAACAGCGGCGCCCTCTGGATGGCACTGCCCAACAACTCGTCAATGTTGTCGCTGGCTTCTGCAGGGTTGCTATTAATCGTGCCAGAGGAGCCAAATAGCCTCTCCGTGTCTTGTACATACAGCAGTGCCAGATCACCACACTTCTCCAGACAGGCGGCTATGCCATGTGCCCGCTCGACCCGCTTGTACTTACTCGTCGTTTTAACGGGGATTTTCTCTAGGGAGAAGGCTAGAGAGCAAGAGAAGCATTTGAAGCGTCAAGTACTTCATTGTATCTTTATAATCAAAGATAGATGTGCTGTTATAGAAGGTGCATATGGTTAAAATATTCACCCAATACACAGAGTAGTAAGGTGATATGTTTTGATAGATAGAAGACAATGCAATACAATTATTTGCATGCCTAGGTGAGTGTTAATTTATAGGAGTGATATATTTTCAATTATGCAATTAATAATTACTTTATTGTTTGCTTCGTGACACACATTAATTCTTCACTAATAACTTGCGGGTAAAAGGCAATTTTCATGTAGTTACAATTAGAACCATGTCATTAATTTATAAGATCATGCTCATTATTTATACAATGCTCTAATTCTACCATATTTTTTTAAGGTACCTTTAATTGCATATGCCTCTGCAAGAAGCTTCAGGAATCTTTGGTGAAGAACTTCAACAGTTAGGTCTTCTAAGCCAATTTTCTCATAATAGGACAGTGCATCTTCATACAGACCCATCGCATAACTTACTTTTGCCAGCAGAAGGTTGCAGTCAACCCAAATGTTTGGCTATTGAAGAAATCATAAGGAACATATTACTTACATTACATATCACATCATTGAAGTCTAATTTGTGACTGTGTAACAGCTGCTTATTGAAAAGAAACATTGGTTCTTTTTAATATGCATGACTTTTTTGACAATATTGACTGGTTCCTCACTGTACCAATACGTCTCATGCCCTAATACTATTTAAATCATACATATTGCGGTACTAAGCATTACCACTGAAAATTCATGCAAAAATTTGGCAATGATAAAAGATTTGGTTCACACCAACCCAAACACAAATATTCTTCTCCATGAACACACTTACTTTGGCCTGTCCTTTAAGCACATCTAATAGGAGTTTCCTAGGTTCTGACAGTTGTGTCTTTGCCCTTCCAACATTGCCTTCTACTGGTGGATATTCTTTAAGATATTGTTCTAGCCTGGCTTCAGCTGTTAGAAAGTTCGCCAAGTTTTCTGTCACATACAATAATACAATAAATAAAAATGGCTTCATCAGTCAGTAGGCCTATACATCAAAGGATAGGTTGGCAACTTGGCAAGAACGTATCAACATCATCATATTACGTCAATTACGTCATTCCTGATCAATTTTTGTACGCCATACACTATGTTATGTTGTGTATATACACACATCAGGATAATTTAGGCTTAATTATATATATATATATATACAGGGCGCGAAATTAGCACCGGCCCACTGGCATATGCCGGCAAATTATTTGGAGGGCCAGTAACATTGGCAAAACACCGGCCCTCCGATCCGGGAGTCCAGTACGAGACCCAGATAGTCTTGGCTGTACTCCAAAAAGTGTCCTGTATGCTGTGGCCTTGAGCACAGGATTTAAAATGTTAGAATCCCATGTAGAATGTTTAACATGTTATTAGCCTTTGCTACCGTTTTTTCAATATGGATGTTTCATCACAAGTCATCAGAAACGTCAATTCCCAACTCTTTAATATTGTTAACTGGCTCGATGGCTTTGATGGATCTACCAGTGGACTAACCCCCTACTGTAGCTTTTACTGTGAAAGCAGTGCGGGGCCTCAGGGTTACGGAAACGGAGATAGGCACTGCCCTACGCGCCTAAAGGGCAGGAAGGAAGGATTGATGGCTATGCCCATAATTGAGTAATTCTCCACAGTCCTACATTTCGTTTTAGTGAAGCTGGCTGGCTGGCTATCCTACTTTTGCCTGGGTATTATTGCACTTGTCAGATTTCCCCCAAATTTTGCAGCAGATCGACCTTTTCAATTTCAGCTACTTTGTTGACAGATTGTGACCGAGTGCAGATGTAGAGAACAAAGGTTTACAAAGGTAGAACCACCAAATGTAGAAGAGAAGAGCATTTACAGAATTTTTTTTACTAGTTCTCTTCAGTAGCAGTGCCAGTGGCAGTGGATCACTGCCACTGGATGGCAAAGTTGTAGCTCTAGGACTATAGCCCGCGTACAGTTGCCGCAGGGCTATAGAACATTCTATGCCAGTTTTCCTAACTGCACCTGCTCCCCACTGCTTCCACAAAAAATGGCTAACAAAACACAAAATGATCGGGCTTTTTAACACTTATTTATCTACATGGACATCTCACCTATCTTTTTCAACACTTTCCACAACTTTACACCATGTATTTATGCATTTATTCCTCAAAGTGCTAGCACTACATGCGTTTCGTTTTGAATTGCTGTTGTGTACATGCGTGACGTCACCCGAAATGTTGACAAAACACATGGGCAGCTATAATGCAGCCTATTACATTTCGGGTGACATCACGCATGTACACAACAGCATTTCAAAACGAAACGCAAGTAGTGCTAGCACTTTGAGGAATAAATGCCAAAATACACACTGTAAAGTTGTGGAAAGTGTTCAAAAAGACGGCGCGCATTTTATTTGCCTTCTTGGAAATTTGGAATCCAATATCCCGCCTGGATCAGTGGATGATGGCTTTGCAGGTTACTTAGGTATTTTGTTTACTTTTCAATTCTCAGCTTTCACTTTTACTAGACTAGTTTCTAGTACTAGTTCTAAAGTTTATCTAGGTTTAGATCTAACCTAGTAGATCTAGATCTACAGTAGATATGAAAATGTTGCACTGGGACTCGACTGGGAGCTTGACTTGAGTGTGATTTTTTTCTGTTGACGTTGAAGTGAATGAGTAAGAACTTATATTTATAAAGGCAATAAATCATACCATAGGCATAGGTATGCACTAAATTGCACCATTTCAAACCTAAAATTTCGAAAAGCTCCATACCGTGGGAAGGGGAGACCCCCTCCCACACCCTGCCCCCCCCCCCTAGGTCGCTGCGCTCCATCGGCCGGTGTCGCTACGTCAAACGCTGAGACTCACTCTCAACCATTTCTCAAACTTGACATCTCTGCATGCCTGAACTGGTTTCTGGAACCGTCATGGCCGGCAGCGTTGCATTGTGGGTAATTTTAAAATTCGCAGAACCCTCTATTCAAACTCCACGACAGATGGCGCTCTCGCTCATTGGCTCAATCTACCACTGCCACAAGTAGATTTTCGGTTACAATTTGTAACGCTTTTTTACCACAAGTTTTACAGCAGCCAGGTTACTCGTATCCTATGTAATAAGATTTGTACTAATAAAAGTTGCAAAGATATTAAAAATCCGACCATTATTTTATGAGAAATTTGATAAAATAGTGATACGAAATAGTGCGCCCATTCACTACTTTCAAATCATTACGCTGTTTACTAAACTAAGTTCACGTGTTTATTTAATATTTATCATGAATTTTTCAGATGCTTGCCAATATACCTAATTCTAGAACATTGTCTTCGATGTATTTTTACGTATTCAGCTTAAAACATCTAAATTTGTCCACCAACAAACATGCAAATCATAGAAATTTCGAATGTTTTGTTCGGTAGCGACTTCGCGGCCGTTGGATTGCCATTTGCTGGATTTCCCCGGAGCTCCGCCCATTTGAAAAATAGTACTAGCATTGTGGCAGTGGTATCCTGAATGTGCGAAGGGGGGCGCTGCATGCAGTTTGCCCTCTATTATCTAGACTATACTATAGGTGCGGGCGGACAGCCGGGAACTTTGCCACATCCGGGACTTTCTTAACCTAGTAACCAGCTGTGCCGGTGAAAACAACAGCCTGTCTCCATGAGCTTACACACGCAATACCCCATTTCCAAACCAAAAGCATACTAATTTCCTTGCATATATGCCAAAAAATTGTGTAGTAGTAGGTTGTCACAATCATATATATTGCACAATGAAAAAAAAACAAATGTTGAGCTGCCAAAATTACATAAGAGTCCAGAGAGGCATGATAAGTCATAAGTGGCTGACTGCCACATAAATGTAAATGAGTAAATGTAAATGGTATGCACTGAAGTCCGTCAAAATTCTCCACTATTTGTTCTGATCATTTCGTGACAGGTAACTACTATTTTATAACTGCGTGTGTGTGCGTGCGCGCGTGCATGTGTGCGTGTGAGTGTGTCACTGTGTGTGCGTGTACGTGCGTGTGCGCGCGTGCGTCCTTGTGTGTGCGTGTGCGTGTGAGTGTGTCACTGTGTATACGTGTGCGTGTGCATGTGTGTGCGAGTGCGTGTTTGTGTGTGACCGTGTGAGTGTGTCACTGTGTACCGTGTGGCGTGTGCGTGGTGGTGCATGTGCGGTGCGTGTTTGTGTGTGCGCCCGAGTGTGTCACTGCCTGTGCGTCGTGCGTGCGTGCGTCGTTGCGCGACTGCGTGTCCTTGTGTTGGCGTGTGCACGCCTGCGTGTTTGTGTGTCCTTGTGTGTGCGCGCTGTGCGCGTGTGCGTGTTAGTGTGTCACTGTGTGCGCGGGGTGCGTGTGAGTGTGTCACTGTGTGGTTGTGGCGTGTGCGTGCGTGCGTGTGCGCGCGTGTGAGTGTCGGTGTGCGTGTGAGTGTTTCACTGTGTGTGCGAGTGTGTGTGCGTGTGAGTGTGTCACTGTGTGTGCGTGTTGCGTGTGCGTGTGTGCGTGCGCATGTGTAATCTTGGACTTTGTTTTTGTTTCACGCAGACCTGGGTAATTTTATTCAACTAATGCAAAGCAAACAAATACAAATAAGAATAGCTTAAAATATTTATCTTATGTATCATATGTATCTTACATAATGTCATATTATAGCTACAGAAAAGCTATGTAAGCTGTTGTACCAAACTTGGAATCTGCACAATCTCGAGATTGTGCAGCGATTGTTGCTGCCCAAACTGTGGATTCCCTAGTTTGGCTGACCAATCTCAAGAGTTGGGCAAACTGAAAACAGTTGGTGATTCAACAACCGCTCATAGCGAGTGTGTGTGGTGTGCGTGGTGCAAACTAGGAAGAGATTATCTCATATTAAATCTTATCCAATTATTTAATCTATAATCATTTACAATTTATCACAGAGGTGCCCAAACACATTGATGAAGAGAGGTAATACGACCTTAATAGTTATGATATAACATTTGCAAATTCCTAATAATCATAATGTTTTGCACAAGGCTCTGTTTACCTCTGTTTGCCCATCTCAAGATTGGTTGCCCAAAGCTGCGTGTATGCGCTGAAACTTCCAAAGTTCGTGCAAGATTCCAAACGTTTGGGCACAACAAGTTGACGAAGGCTACTCGTAAGGCACCAACCCAAAACTGAAAAGTAACGTCAACAACCATCTCCAATGCAGAGACGCGTACATTAATACATACCTGTTCCGGGAGACTGCGGCACTGAGTCATTTAATTGAGCAATCAGATCTAAGACTTTTCTCCAGTCTGAGATACATCTATTTTTCTCTATATCAAGTTCCAACTTCTGAAGAGTTTTATTAACCTTTCCAGACATGTTTGGGAGAATAGTACCGTTTACCACTAATAGAGGGCAAAATATAATCAAATAATAATATACATTTATTTATAAACTCTAACAAATAATATATAATAGTATCATATAATATTATAATCCACGAGGACTATTATTTTATATTAAAATATTTGTTTTGCTATGCTAAGCGCATCAAACCCATTAATTTTCTTAACAAGTGAGCATCAAAAACACGTGACTAAAATCTGCCTTTTTAATGGCAGCGATCGGGTAAGTGAAACCGTGTTGAACATTGCTTCTAAAAATGTGTAAATATCATCGTAATAAAGTACTATAGCATCGGAGAATTTCATGAAATGCGCGTAGTAACTTCGCTTTGCCACTTTTACGTTGCTATTTCGCAAACTGGGAATTATACATGCTTTTGGTCTAGCCAACACTTGGTCTAGCCAAGTTCCCTTCTCGCTTAACACTACAACTTTACGTCCTACGACGTCACGTGTAACAGTCGGAGAGCATGGTCGGTTTAGCCAAACTCTAGATACAAATATGTAACCCAACAAGACTGAGTAGGGTTACAACGCGAGCCTATTCTTTTCTTTGGAGGAGCCCCTGAGTGATTCACTCAGGGCTGTTTTATGGTGCGTTTCTCGAGACTACAAGTACAACTTCCAAACTGGATTTATTCTAAATACGAACCTTTCTCCGCTATCCTGGGACTTACTAATACTATGTATCAAACTATTATAACCTGTTACAAAATTTCGAAGTGACGACCGGCGATATTTCGAGCGCCATTTCTGTTCACCTGTGACGTACAGATTCCCAATGCGCATATCGTTCGGCTAACTTCGGCTCCAAGATCGAATGTATCATGGGTTGCCTGCTGTCATCATGACGAAGTTAGCCTACGACTCTTGCGCACTCTTGCTCCCTCGGCGATGCGGTGTGGCTCGCTAGTAGCTGCCTTTTGTTTCAAGTTAGGCGGTTTATACAGTTTATACATTCGGTTTGCTGGCAACAGAATGGATAATCGTGTCGTACGTTTTAGTCTGTATCTCCGGATTGCGGGTGTATACGAGGAAGCGATTTCGCTGGACGCTAGGCGAATGTACTGTGTCCGATTTGAGCTCAAGTTGGTTGAGTTAAGCGTAGTAAATCGTAGGTATTCTAAGGCTAGTAAATGACGAATTTCCCTTGTTTATTGAAGTCACACTCCTTCCCTATTATCTACGGCTGATATAGATGTATATATGTATATATATATATATATGCGGGATATATAATTTATATATACACAGTCGCTGAGTAACACTCCACAGTATATAGCGTAGTGGTGCCATCTATCGGAGGGGAAAATTGGTTTTTAAACCTGGTGGTGTCAAATGGGATTTGGCCGTATTTTCTAGCGAGTCTTTTCCGTTTCGGGTTTTCCGTGTCTCTCTTCCATTGAGCATGCGCAGTGTAAACATGGCGGGTAAACAATCGTGGAAAGCTGCTTGGAAAGTTGGTGTGCTGTGAGAATTAGTAGATTATATTATGAATTAAGAGATACATTCTAGTTTAGATGCAGGATAAATTAGTTAACGTTCTTATTTCAAACAAGGCAAGTCAAAGGTGGTAATAGAATAGTTTTATTTGAGATATACAGAGTTATTCATCTAGATTGCCAGAGGTGATAGATTTTTTGTATGGAAGGGTGTCAGGCTGTGTAGACAATCGGTCGCACAGCCTGGTCGGGCTAGCCAAACTCCTGCAGCAATTGCACGCAACTTCGGTTGTTCCTTGGACTTGGTCTCGACTTGGAACCTAGTTAAAATTGGGATACCTAATGAAGATTACTGCAAGCTAATCATATTATTTTGTTAACCTTTTTGCTCTCCATTTACAAAGTTTTACATATTTTGTGAGGGTACCGTAACCATTTAAGTAAGTTTCTATAATAAACTTGGCATCTGTAACAGACCTTTACTCAGTGCTTGGTAAGAGTAGAAGGACTTTATATATTTGAGTTGACATCTGGTGTTACTGTTAGACAATATAGAATATATACTTGTTTTTTGGTTCTTTCAGTGGATGGTAAAAATTTGTCAGGATGCAGATCTTTGTGAAGACTCTTACTGGAAAGACCATCACCCTTGAGGTTGAACCCAGTGACTGCATTGAAAATGTAAAGGCAAAGATTCAAGATAAGGAAGGTGTGTTAACGTTACTTTCATCAGTTGCTTTTACAGTAGTCGTTACTAGTGATGTCACGATCATCGGTTGAACAGTGGCTCAAACGAAGCGCTTGGTTATCAAAATCCATAATTTTTTTTAATTTGATAAGAAAACTTGGAAAAGTGATGAGAATCAGAGATATCATCACTACTATACAAGTTATCCTTTATTAACATACATGTATTATACACATAGTAGTAAACAGTATTATACACATAGTAGTAAACAGTGCAAAACAAACAGTAAACAGGGCTAAACAAGCACATACATGCACACACGTACATGCACGTGACGTTACGCACACGCAGGCATTCAACACCCCGAGTAACCGATTGTAACCGATCATCGGTTACTTGGGTCCAACCGATGATCGATTACGAAATTACAACCGATTGACAACACTAGTCGTTACCAATGTGGTTAAATGTTTTAAATGTGTGTTTAAAACTGCTTACTGTTGGGTTCAACTAAAAAGGCATGAAGTTTGTGTGAGCAACTTATTAAAATTGTTATGCTGCCCTAGATGAAATGATTAGGAATTTACCTGGTGCTGTTAGTGATTTTTTTTATTCTTGTAACGTGAAGGAATAAACCAATGCATCAAATTGAATGATTTTATGAGTTGTTTAGTTGAATATGTAGGTGTTTTGCAAAATATTTGGTATTTTGTAATTGTTTCTTATATAACATTTTGGTCAATTAAACCTTTGAAACTGTTCTTGCAGGAATTCCTCCGGATCAGCAGCGGCTGATATTTGCCGGGAAACAGCTGGAGGATGGACGCACTCTTTCGGATTACAATATCCAAAAGGAGTCCACTCTTCACTTGGTGCTGAGGCTCAGGGGAGGTGGCAAGAAAAGAAAGAAGAAGAATTACACTACCCCTAAGAAGAACAAGCACAAGAAGAAGAAAGTGAAGCTTGCTGTGCTTAAGTTTTACAAGGTAGGTGGTTACTCAAACCAACCTTCTCGTGTCTATGTGTAAAAGGAAAGTCAGAAAACTGAAAGTGGAACAGGAAGTGGATTGTAGTATTTCACTAAATAAAGTTGGTCACTAGAAACCGTGAATATCTTTACATATTTAATATGTTCATATCACCTGATTTACCAATTTCTTAAGCTATGAATAACCAATCAGTTGTCAACATCTTGAGCGTACAGGCCTGCAGAATGTACATTTTTCATGGCCACCCCTCTTCTAAAAGATATAAGATGAATTTTTTTTATTGATATTGGTGATAAGGTATAAATAAGCTTATTGTATTACTATGGGTGTAGTGTCTTACCCCAGCATATGGTATTGATTCTTATAGTCATGTTGGTAAGTGTAATTTCCCCTTTGTAGGTTTCCTATTAGTATAACACTATATCTGTGCTTTCCAGGTTGACGAGAATGGCAAGATCACACGCTTGCGTAGAGAGTGCCCTAACGAGGACTGCGGTGCAGGTGTGTTCATGGCGTCCCATTTTGACAGACAATATTGTGGGAAGTGCTCCCTCACATTTGTGTATAACAAACCAGAGGATAAATAAAATGCAAGGAAGGTACAACTAAGTATCTATCGGAGACTTGGCATTTTCTTATAATGTTTTTTTCCTTGAGGCTGAGAACTTCTTTCAAAGGTTTAAAGCCTATTTCGAAATCACTGCTCCTATGGTGGCCCAGTGTTATAATAGTTTATCACAAGTGTTCGACGTTGCCCACTGTTATAATACATAAACATAACCATATACCGCTGAGTAGTATGGTGGCCCAGTGTTATAATTTAGTTCATCACAAGTCTTCGACGTGGCCCACTGTTATAACAGGGTTCGTAGCGGGTCTTCCAAAGTCTTATAAGTACTTATTTTGCCAAAAATAAAATAAGGGCCCTTATTAGTACTTATTTTTGGTGAAATATTAGAAAAGTACTTAATAGTCCTTATTTTTTGCAGTATTGTGGTATATATAATTCGGAATAATTAAATCTGCTGTGCAATTGTGTATATAAATATTAGTGTACTTTAATAGTCGGTGATCTATCAGAAATCGCGTAAAAAAGTCTTATTTTGGCCTCCAGAAAGGGTCTTATAAGTCCTTATTTCAACATGTGTCTTACTACTATGAACCCTGTATAATACATAAACATAACCATATACCATACACATGTCCATAGACCATATACAATAGACCATGTACACATCGAAGACTTGTGAGACTTATTAAAGACTTATCTTAAGACTTATTAGAGACTTATCGAAGACTTATTATAACACTGGGCCATCCTACTCGGCAGTATATGGTTATGTTTATGTATTATAACGGTGGGCCACGTCGAAGACTTGTGATAAACTATTATAACACTGGGCCACCATACTGCTCCAAAACGATCAGTCAGAATTTATTTTTTTTGCTAAATATAGTCTTAACCTCATAGCATATAGATATATTACTGATTGCACCATCTTGAAAAACACTAGGAATTTATGCTATTATAGCATAAAAAATTGGAATTGAACATGCCGTAACACCATGGCATATTTTATTATAGCGACAATAGATTTGCAGATGGTGTCTTAGTGCGCCAACAAGTTACAAGTGCACCCATTCTGCACCTAATTCAAACAAAAGGTCATCTGATTCTATTTTGAAATTGGCTGATAGCTGGTGCTATCAAGAGATAGTCCAAGATTCGCAAGAAATGGGGGCGGTAATCAAAACTAGTAATCAAAATTCAAATCGTGCATGTTTTGGAGAACATAGCTAAATACGAAAGTTCTAAGACATTTTATCATTACTCTAGACAGTTGCTATTGCTCATGCAATAACAGCAAGTGTCGAAAAATTGGGAAAACGACTGGTTGGAAATTGTTCGAAATAGGGCTTAAAGCCGCACTATGCGCATCCAAACGCTAATTTCTCCAGTACTAGACTAGCAAATACTTCGTGTCATGCATAATCACACTACCTTATGACAAAATAAACTTTAGTTCCTCCCATTTCACTGCGCATTGTCTTATAAAAGGCATTTGAAAATACCTCCAATGTTGTTCAAATTCTCCGATGTTGTTGACATTTTCGCGTTGTTCTGCCAAGCAACCGCACAGCGGTGCTGCGGTACGGTTGTAGCAAAAATAAAAACGTGACGTCACCTAACTGATTCTTGGCGAAATTGTTTGGCAAATAATTTAGCGTTGGTGCCAGATTACAGATTTCGCACCTCTTTCTTGTGGGTTTTAAAATGACTATTGCGAGATTTTTGCTCAGAAAAACTAAATATAGCTGAATATAGTCTCAACTGACAGCAAAAATATCACTGATTACACCAACCTTATAAATACTAAGATTTTATGGAGTTATAGCATAAAAAATTGGATATGAACACATCGTAACCGCAATGCATTTTATTGTGTCGCGACAATGCCCTAATGGCAGAATTGGTAATCTTGTATTTGTGTCGGTGATGAATTGAAAACAAGTGCGTGCCTTCACTGTGGGTATGGCAGATAAGTGGTGGCACCACAAGCTAATGCATACTTCCTGTTAGTTCAAGATGACAGAAAACGAATGTTTACAAAAACGATAAGTTTGAAACTGGCAGTTTTCGATGGTTCGAAGGTTCTAAGACATTTTATTGTTACTCTAGACAATTGCTGTTACTCAAGCAATAACGGTAGGTATCATGAAAGTGGGGAAAACACTAGAAAATTCTCGCAATAATCGCTTTAAGCAAACGCGCAGTGAAATGGGAGGAACTAGAGTTTATTTTGCCATAAGGTAGTGTGATTATGCATGACACGAAGTATTTGCTAGTCTAGTACTGGAGAAATTAGCGTTTGGATGCACATAGTGCGGCTTTAAATTGGAGCTTAGTATGCATATTAATGCTGCGTTTACACTAGATTTTTGTCAGCAAATCGTCCGAGTCGTGCCAAATAGAACACGTTCTATTTCTCCAACTCGGCGACTTGACTCCGACTCCAACACAATCGAATTTCTTGGAATGCACTTGGGTCAAGTCGGGGGCAAATTGGAATGCACTTGAAATCGGGACGATTTGCTGACAAAAATCGATAGTGTAAACGCAGTTTAAGAATTAAGTTGTGCTTTTGATGATTTTCCTCGTGTTTTGCAACATGCGTTTATAGCCTCTAATCATTAAAAAAAAGAAAGATAAATGGGGGGATATTTGTTCTAGTCTGGTTATGCATACAGACATGTTTAAAATGCTGCTCTGAACACTATTTTACTTCAACTTTTATCATACATTAACCAGAAAATAACAAGTAAAAATAGGGTTTTAAACAAACATACAAAAAATACACTGAAGCATAAAACTAGTCATATACAATACGTTCCATGTACAGGTACTATGTACATGCAGGGAGTCTATATAATAGGCTATTATAGACCTATTATAGACCTATTATTATTGGGGGGCCTATTATAGACTCCCTGGTACATGCAAACATTGTACTTGTGTGCATGTAACTGAGAAAACTGCATTAGCCTGTGTTAGATCATTAATCACTGTTTATTCACATAATGTTTTAAAGGGATACTTTCCCCTAGAATTTTAGATTTTTACAAATTCGGCCATATTATAACTGAAACTAAGTGTCGTTTATAAGATATTGCAATCCTTCTCCTCTTAAATTAATAAACAAGAAACACCCTCGGTCTGTAGCCTGCAGCCGAAACGCTGCTTTGTGCAACCTTTTCAGTGGATGCGATCCCAGTGTCGCCACCGTCGTTGCAAGCAATGGTATAGCCGGCCAGTTTTAAAACATTTGAAATTATTTCTAATGAATATTGAGCCATAAAACATTATTTAGCGTTATGTTAGCCTATTTTAACTGAACATTTTCAATGAACCTAGTGTAATGGGTTTCTTTAAGGAATATGAGAAGGTTATTGCAGTTTTTCTTCTGGAAAGATGACTGCCAGTGACTGTAATGCATCTAAATATCTCTTCGGGGTGCAACTGCCCCACTAGCTTCAGCTAATTTCTTTGCATTAGGATATCCTTCATTTATTAGCTCATCTGACGTAGTCGGATTCAGCTTGTAGAATCGCATGATCGTGCGTGCGTGCGTGCGTGCGTGCGTGCGTGCGTGCGTGCGTGCGTGCGTCAACAGTTGGGCAAATCTTAACCGCTCGACGTACGGTCACGATATTCGGGACGTGGGGGGGTAATCCGAAAACGAGTTGGGATGTCGAAGCTGGGGTTCAAAGGTCAAGAGGTGTAAAAGAAGGGGGAACATTCCCTCCTTAACTTAAGGTATAGGGAGGAAATGCAGAATTGCGGCACAAATCTAAACGGCTCGACCTAGGCTCGTGATAGTCGGTGTATAGCATCATGTTAGGAAAAGCCATCACTGTGCCGAAATTGGAGGTCAAAGGTCAATGGGGCACAGGGCAGATTTTAGACATTTTCTGAGGACATGATCTGACGGAGCGATTGAAAAACTTGAATTTTCAAAAGCTAAATTTGGTTGAAGAAGGTTTATGCTCCTTAAATCGTATAATTTCTATGGCATTCTGTACTGTCAGTGTGTTACTTGTAACTGTATGCCACTGCCAGTGGCCACTGCCAGTGCATGTGGTGGTGATAGTACTGTGTAGTTTTTGCCTGCATTAATTAGTTACAGGTGGCAGCTCTCTATTTCAGCCTGTAGGCTTGCGTAGGTAAATGGATGAGTGCTTACCTATTCTGTCTTGCAAATAGTTGTTGCTACTACGTACGATGGGAGCTTCCATATTTAATCTTAAGACACTTAACGTACGCGCCATCTCGCGGCAACTTTCATAACGATCCCAAAGAACATTCCTTTGAGAAGGTTCCTGATACCATCCCTGTGCCTTCTGTTGATATACTGTGTAAACGTAGTTCGTTACATAGTTTGTGCGAAGCTAATGTTAAAGCGATGTCACTGCAGATACAGTGGCGGATTTAGGGGAGG